AATTCTGACAAGTACAGGTTTTTAATAACTTTGAGTTCATATGATTAGACTATATTTCCATAATTATAATGAAAAAATTAAGTCTGTGAAACTAATGACCAAGATTAGAGCAAGAATTACATGAGACACAATGAACTGTGTAAGGTCTTTTCGGCTGACTGATAGCACCACAGTTGCCATGGTAACGTCTATGCCCTGAACGGACTCTCCAGATGAGTTCCTGGAACTAGAAAGTCTGAAGTAACTGGAAAACAACGAAAAAGGGAAGAATGATTAGCCCCTGCAGTGCCTAATTAACTTGAGACATTCTTCTATTGTTCTGTATTCCCGCCTCAACTGATAAGGCAAGTGGACTTTGTAACTGACCTTGGTCAACCTCGTGCCTCCAGACCCTACAACCTCCTCCCAGCTTGAAAAAACTGCCCTAAACTGTAACTTCTGTAACTTTCCACTGCATACCTCAAACATATAAAACCAACTCCTATCCCACTTCCCTCTGCCGACTCCCTTTTTGGACTCAGCCCACCCACACCCAGGTGAATGACAGCCATGCTGCTCACACAAAGCCTGTTTGGGGGGGGGTCTCTTAATTCAGAGTGCACGTTTAACAAACTGATGAAAAAGAGTTATGGGTTTTCAAGGTTTCTTTATTTGATACTTTGCTAGTTCTTATAATGTTTTTCCAGATTTAAGGAGACCTTTTTTATTTTTTATTTATTTTTTATTTTTTTAAGATGGGTTTTAACCCTGATGACCAGGCTGGTCTTGAACGCCTGACCTCAGGTGATCCACCCACCTCAGCCTCCCAAAGTGTTAGGATTACAGGCGTGAGCCACCGCGCCCAGCCAAGGAAACCTTTTTTACTTCTTTTAAGCTATCTATAGCTTACAGCAATTTGGTAAAATATACTTCTGTAAACAAAAATGGAAGCATTTGCACACATTGACCACACAATAGCTTTCTGTTTGTTTTTTAATTGAGATGGGGTCTGAGACAGAGGTCTCTCTATGGTGCCCAGGTTGGTCTCACACTCCTGGACTTAAGTAATCCTCTTGCCTCAGCCTCCTGACTTGCTGGAATTACAGATATGCACCACATGATCACATAAAATTTTAAATGTTTCCTTACTGCTGTCAAACATGAAATGATGTCTCTTTAGCTGAAAAACTCAAATAAATGCATAGTAATAACACAGAATGGCTGGGCTCCCGTCTAAAACCAACCCTCAAACCTGGAACCTCAACCCTAAATAAAAAGAGCTGACCCCATTTTTCTGCCCAAATGATTGCCTTTTTGGCCCGCCCTGCCCCCTATTCTGTGCCCATAAAACCAGACCAGCTGGCAGAATAAAAGAAAAAAAAAAGAGCAGCAAAAGCGGCTGATGCAAGTGGTTGGGGATACAAGCTGCTGAACACTGGGGATGCAAGTGGCTGAATGTCAAAGACTACAGATAGACATGGCTAACTTTAGATGGTGCAGCTTCGGAGGGGAGCTTGGCTGGAGATGGCTGGGTTTCAGGGAAAGATCACCTTCTTCATGCACCACCCACTTTCCAACTCCCCATTCCTCTGAGAGCCACATCCATCGTCCAATAAAATCTTCTGCATACACTACCCTTCAATCCATTCATGAAGGGGATTTTTCCTGGATGCTGAACAAGAACTCGGGTGTTAAAAAGGGCAGGTGCAGGACACTGTCACCCTGACCTTTCACTGAGATGTAACACTTAGTCGTCCACGGACTGCAGGTGGAGTGAAACGAGAGACTCCAGTTCCTGCCTACAAAGGGCGTCAAGATCAAGAAAAAATTCTCTCTTAGTAATGAGGAGGGCAGTCACTGTAACCTATAAATGGCATGTTGAGACCAGAAACCCAAAATAATAGCAACTGAAAGTAATACTGATGCCATAAATTTTTATCACATTCTCACTTACCGAAAGAGGGGCAATTGTCAAATAAAAATTATAAAAAGACATTGTTTGGACAGGAGGCATTAGCCAGGCTAAGAGGAGAGGTCAGAGCTGATCTGAGACTAGCCAGATACATCAGGAAGGAAATACTTTATGATATGGTTCATTCTTTGGAAATCCAGTGTGGAAATCTGTTACCTAGCAGTTGTGTATGTTGGAATAGATGTGTAGAAAAAAATAAAAAATATATATTATATGTAAATAAATCTTTTAAATATATATATATAAATTAAGTGATACATATCTGAAAAACCAGTACCAGTCTATTTGCATTGTATAATTACACTGGATAACTTGGATATCTATAGGTCACTGTGAAGGGATTTTATAAAAGTACAGAATGATTTTAGTTTCTAAGTATATATTTTTAGTGTTTAGTATTTTGTCATTAGGGAGATTCACTGAGAAATACTTGAAAATATTGAATAACAAATTGATGAACAATTTCACATATATTTACTATCTTTGTTTGTGCAGCTATAATAGAATGCCATAGAATGAATAATTTATAAATAGTAGAAATTTATTTCTCAGCGTTCTGGAGGCTGGAAAATACAAGATTAAGGCATCAGCAGATTTGGTATCAGGTGAAGGTTTGCTCTTTGCTTTATTAATGGCACCTTTGTTATGTCCACACATAGCGGAAAGGGCAAAAAAGGATGAACTTGCACTCTCAAGCCCTTTTGTGAGGGTACTTATCCCATCTATCAAGGTGGAGCTCTCAAGACCTAATTACTTCCTGAAGACCCTACCTCTTAATACTGTTGCATTGGGGATTACATTTCAACATGAATTTTGGAGAAACACAAACATTCGAACTATAGCATTTACCATTTTATAAAAATGTTCACATAATATTGTTTTATAAAAATATAAAGATTTAGGCTGGGTGTGATGGCACATGCCTGCAATCCCAGCACTTCGGGAGGCCAAGGCAGGTGGATCAATTGAGGTCAGGAGTTTGAGACCAGCCTGGCCAACATGGTGAAACCCCTTCTCTACTAAAACATACAAAAATTAGCTGGGCATCGTGATGCACACCTGTAATCCCAACTACTAGGAAGGCTTGGGAATTGCTTGAACCCAGGAGGAGAAGGCTGCAGTGAGCTGAGATTGCATCGTTACACTTCAGTCTGGGCGACAGAGAGAAACTGTCTCAAAAACAAAAATAAAACCAAGAATAATACAGATTTAAACTCATGACTTCACAGTTTGTGTAGGTGTATGCTTTTTCTATGTTACACTCTTTTCACCCCAAATGTTCACACACTGTCATATGCAGATATCTTTTCAGCTTACTCAGGGGCTAGACTTTCTCTCTCAGGGCATTGAGCTCCAAGAAGGGACTTCAAACAATGTGTTACTGGTACAAAGTATCTGAGTCACATGGCACCAAAACATGTTACTGGTGGTAAATATTCAAATATGTATGGGTCTGCAGCAACCTCAGTTCTTGCCTCCTCAGAAGAAAGAATTCAACTGAGGTACATAAGGCAGTAAAGGAGACCAAGGGAAGTTTCAGAGCAGTAGTGGAAATTTATTTAAAAGCTTTAGAGCAGGAAAGAAAAAGAAAGGAATGCTTGAGCCCACTCGTTCAGTTCCTGAGATCTTATTGGAAGCTGCCAATTACTAATTTCAGGTGTTTTTATCTATTGGGAAACTGCCTCGTCCTGGTGCTGGCTGAGATTAGCTATTATTACCGAGAGGCAGTGTGACAACTGCTAGATCATTACTTGATGGTCACCTGAAATTCCTGGCGGGTGAGAAGAGCTCTCTCCTGCCCCACCTAGGCCTGACTAGCTACCTACTGTAACAAAGTGGCGAAAAATTCCAGAAAGTTCTGGCTGATGCCCTAGCCCACAGAGAAGCTCCTAGTTTATTCCTGCTCTCTGGCCTGAGACTTTAGGAGCTACATTTCCGGCTGTAATCATTAGGAGTATCCATCTACACTGACTACATTTTACTTTTTCTTCAAGAAAAGACTTGGCTGGGCGCGGTGGCTCAAGCCTGTAATCCCAGCACTTTGGGAGGCCGAGGAGGGTGGATCATGAGGTCAAGAGATCGAGACCATCCTGGTCAACATGGTGAAACCCCGTCTCTACTAAAAAAAATAAAAATACTAAAATACAAAAAATGAGCTGGGCATGGTGGCGCGTGCCTGTAGTCCCAGCTACTCAGGAGGCTGAGGCAGGAGAATTGCCTGAACCCAGGAGGCGGAGGTTGCGGTGAGCCGAGATCGCACCATTGCACTCCAGCTCTGGGTAACAAGAGCGAAACTCCGTTTCAAAAACAACAACAACAACAACAAAAGACTTGATTTTTTTCTACTTTCAGTGACCCACTAAACTTTTGCTATTGACTTATATTTTCCTGGTCTGTTTTTTGTATTCTCTCTCTAGGATGGGCTACAGTTAATTCCAGCCACACAAGTGTTTTCAGAACATTCTCTTACTTTGCCCTAACTTAAGCAAAACCCCAAATATTAGAAGAGTTTAGAAAAACTGTGCATGGTTCTCATTTCCACTTTGTTTCTCCAGGCAACATCTGAATCATTCCAGGCTCCTACACCTCATTAAACCTCAGCAACTTCAGGAAGTTGGTGATTCTGAGTTCAGAGTCCCCTTGTGAGGAATACATGGAGAAAAAAAGTAATATAGCAAGTACAGAGCTTGGGCTACAATAGGCACTCAGAGTTCTCTGAGTCTGCAGAGTAAAGTAAATGAATACAATGTAATGAACTGGAGGTGACCAGCAAACTGAGTTCTCTTGTATTTGTTTCAATAAGTATCTGGGTTCTAGGCCTCATGATTGAGATTATTGCCAACCACCTTTGCAGGAGTGGCTACATTAGAAACAGCTCTCAGGGTGTCCAGCTGGTAGCAAACTTAGACGGCAGTAAGAACAGGAAGTTAATTCTCCTCAGACTCCTAGGACACTCCTCTCTATGCTTGGGGATGGAACTTCCTGTAAGGACTCCATTTTGTCCCAAGGCCTGAAGAAGTGACTTGGGACTTGCTCTGGCCTTCCTCAGCAGCCCTCCTCATTCTTCTCCAAACTCCCATCTGCAGGCCACACAGATTCTCCTCAAGAGAGCCCTGTGAGGACACTGGTAAAACGTCACAGCCTTCAGGACACACCATGGGTGAGTTGGCCAGCATGAGGCTGGAGTCTGAGGTCTCCACAGAGCAAAAGGGACTGAGCCTCCTTCCCCACCTTACCCCAACCCATAGGACACCCAGCCAGTCTCCCTTTAGATAGTGGTGGATAGTGACAAGGACCCAGGCCTGAGTCTTGTGGTCTTCTCAGGGGCAGGGTTTGAGGTATGAGGAGGGTCACCTGGGGCAGAGATTGGTAAAAATTAACATTCCTTGGATGTACGCTAGAGGTGGCAGGGCAGGAAATACATCTTTAATCTTAACATCAACCATTCAAGGTAGATTGTATTACCCCCCCACCCCTACCCCAGAAGTTTCTCAAAGCTTGTTTTATGGCCCAGAATATGACTTATTCTGGAATGTTCCATTGTAGTTTTTCTTTTTCTTTCTTTCTTTCTTTTTTTTTTTTTAAACAATATACATCCTTGTCCTATCACAATCCAGTGTGAATTAGCTATTTTTTGTTTTGTTTTGTTTTGTTTTTTGTTTGAGATGGAGTCTCACTCTTGTCACCCAGGCTGGAGTGCAATGGTATGATCTTGGCTCACTGCAACCTCCACCTCCTGGGTTCCAGCAATTCTCCTGCCTCAGCCTCCTGAGTAGCTGGGATTACAGAAGCGCACCACCACGCCTGGCCAATTATTGTATTTTTAGTAGAGATGGGGTTTCACCATGTTGGCCAGACTGGTCTCAAACTCCTGACCTTAGGTGACTCACCCCTGAAATGTTTTTCCTTAAAGTATATATGGTTTCCTATTATTTTTTAAGATGGAGTCTTGCTGTGGCATCCAGGCTGGAATGCAGTGGCTTGATCATGGCCCAAAGCAGCCTTGTCCTCCTTGTCTCAACTGATCCTCCCACTTTGGCCTCCCAAATAGCTGGGACTATGGGCACATGCCGCCATACCTGGCTAATTTAAATTTTTTTATTTTTATTTTTATTTATTTATTTTTTTGTAGAAACAGGGTGTCACTGTATTCCCCTGGCTGGTCTCAAACTCTTGGGCTCACACAATCCTCCCATCTGTCTCCCAAAGTGTTGGGATTATAGGCATGAACCTCCATGGCCAGTCTATTAATATTTTTATACTGACTTAATGTTTTGTTGCTTTTGGAAACTTTTTAACCAGGAATTCTTCAAACACTTCTCTACTGTTCCCTCTCCTTATTTCTGGGTCTCAGACTTGTGTTAGATATGCTTACCACATTTTTTTTTTTTTTTTTGAAACAGTATCGCTCTTATCGCCCAGGCTGGAGTGCAGTGGCATGATCTTGGCTCACTGCAACCCCCACGTCCTGGGTTCAAGCAATTATCCTGCCTCAGCCTCCCGAGTAGTGAGATTATGGGCATGCGCCCTAATTTGGTATTTTTAGTAGAGACGGGGTTTTTCCCTGTTGGTCAGGCTGGTCTCAAACTCCTGATCTCAAGTGATCTGCCTGCCTCTGCCTCCCACAGTGCTGAGATTACAGGTGTGAGCCACCATGCCCGGCCTATCACATGTTTCTAACTTCTGTCTTTCACTCTTTTGGTAATTAATTTCCATAATTATGTCTTTCCAAGATTCATTCTGGATATTTTCTTCAGCAGTGTTTTCATTTATCTGATTCTTCTTTGAGGCAGGGAGCCCTTGACCCTTGAACCATAATAGCAAACTTTTAGGGTAGATTTTTTAATTCTCCAAGTAGTGGTGGGAATTGAGGGTTAGAAATGATAAGCAACCTGTCCCAGGTTCCCCAGCCTGAAAAGGGCGGAGCAAGGACTATCATCATAGATTAGTATCACCTAAACCGAAACCCTTTCTGCTGTGCTCGTTTTTTCTTGGTTGTGAATGTTCCCCAACTCTCATCTCCCAGGAAGTGAAACCACAGTAAAATCTTTCAACTTTTTTGGCACTGTGATATATTTCTTTCTAGATTATAAAAATCACTAGCCCAGGCAACACAGGGAGACCCCATTTCTAAAAAAAAAAAAAAGCCAGATTTGGTGGCATGTGCCTGTAGTCCCAGCTACTTGAGAGGCTGAGGTGGGAGGATCTCTTGAGCCACAGAGGACAAGGCTGCAGTGAGCAGTGATTATACCATTGTACTACAGCCTAAGCAATAGAGCCAGACCCTGATTCTAAATAAATCAATAAATATCAGTGAATTTTTTCATTATCCATTATATTTTCCCAAGGTTTTTTTCTGGTATTCTAAGTGTTGATGTGCCGTTCTCAATTTAAGGTCACAGTGATCAAGTTGTTCGAAGAAGAGCAAGATGTTGGGATATGTACCAAAGGAGATTTAGCAGTGTGTCTCAACCAGTCAATCTTGGCATGCATTCTTCATCCCATCAGCAGCAAGATGGAGATGCAGCAATGCAGGGTGCCCACGTGGAATCTCCAGTAAGATAGTAAGTGACCAGTCAGCATGGCTGGAATGTACCAGCCAGTGAAATACATAACCCTGTAGCTGAATATGTCATTCTTTCCAACCTGACAGAAAGAAGGAATGATAGAACTCAATTGATGGTTGAGCAAACTTCATTGTAGCCCTGGCATCAATGGAGCAAATGTGTATAAAAGACTTTCTGAGCATATGTGAACTATCTTTTCTCTACTTGCTCACAGCACTCCCTATGCCATTTCACCCTCTCATCGGAGAGGCAGTTTTCTTAAACAAGACCAAACCCATGTCAACATGGAGAGAGAGCAAAAACCTTCAGAGAGAAGAGTGGAGGTGAACAGGCCTCAGGAGACCTTAGGGAGCTGGTTCAAGATCACGGTGAGTGTCCTGGCAAAATGGATCTAATTTTCAGAAGGAGAACGGGGGAATTGTGTTGGATTTGTGTAGATACTAGAGACTTTTGTAAGGGCAGGAAAGTTTGTGATTTGTCCTTTGTTACTAGGAGTTAACATCCTAGATAATCTAAGAGTAAATTCAGAGAAGTAATGTAAAGAGAATGGACTGATTGCAGACAGAATGGAAGAGGTCGTTTACAATCAAAGGAGGAAACAAATGCTAAGGAGATAAAGCATCTCCACACCAGATGCTTCAGTTTGGTTCAAACTAAGTGTATGGGGTAGGGGGGAGCGTTGAATCAGTGGAGTCTTTGTCAAAGGGGCAGGCCTGGTCTGCTTTAGGTAGACTCTTGGGACTTTATTAAAGAAAACTTACTTTAAACATCTTAAATTATTTTAAGAAAACTCTTTGAATAATAAGGAAGGGTATTTAGGTAATCCATGTGTGGTTAGAAATAATAGATATTAGAAATAATGAATGAAATAATAATGAAATACGTAAGTTAGCAATAATGGATGTTGTCCTATCCTAAATTATTTTAAAGTCTGAAAGGAACATATTTAGGTCCAATTTTAATGTTTAATTCTATTATGTCAGTCTTCTTTCCTCACTCATTCTTTCTTTCACTCACAGATTCCATTCGGCATAAAATACAATGAGAAATGGCTGCTGAATTTGCTTCAGAACAAATGCAGTGTATCTTTCATCCCAGTTGAGGTAAGAAAGGACAGTGAGGGAGACAAGAAAGAACAGGATAGGTAGGGGACTGGATGAGCACAGACTCAGGCCTCATATTTTGTTTCTCTCGCCACTCTCCCTGTAGTTTCACTATGAAAAAATGAATGCCACCTTCTTTGTGGAGAATGCCAGCATCGCCTCTGCACTGAAGAATGTCAGTGGCGAGATTTGGGATGAGGATAATGAAAAGGTGTGCATCAATTGAATGACCAGGGCTAGCATTGAGCAAGAGGGCAGGGCAAGGGTGAGGTCTTGCTTGATCTTGGGGCTCAGAGTTCCTAGTGTTTACCCGGCCCCTCTTGGGTTCTCTGCAGATATCAATCTTTGTCTGTCCTGATGGTATACCCGACTCTGTGCAGAGGGAGCTAAAGTCAGAAAAGGGGGAGCAGGTAAAGGTAATACAGACTCAGAGCAAGTTGTTTACACAAAGCCAGACCCACAGCTTCTTCCCCATCTATTGCCCCCTTCACCAACTCAGCTTCAGAGCCTCTGAATCCCATCTCTAACTCTGCAGCTGGCCGTGAACCAACAACAGGCTCTTGATATCCAGAAACTCCCCATTTACTCAGGTATGGCTGAGAACAGTGACTCTATGGCAGATAAGGGCAGAGGTGTCTGTGTGAGATGGAGACTTAGGGATGGCAACTTGAAGAGGGGTTAGTACTTATGCTGTACCAGCCGGGTCCCTCTCAGCCTTCTGGTTTTCTCCTCTCTGCTTCCTGGAGACTTTATGACCTGTGATACTAAAAGGGCACCGAATCCTAGAAAGGGCGTGGCTGCCTCCCTGAATGTCCATGAAGACAACATACCTAAGGTGAGGCTCATGCTGGGATTGAGGGTGAAAGTGGAAGAGATTAGCTGGGAGGCTAATGGGTCTAAGATATCCCCTGTTGGGGACCTTCACTCTTAATTCTTAACTCATTGGTCACCATAGCTTTTGCTCTTGAACTTAAGCAACAACAAACCCTACCAGATGCTTGACATTATGCCAAAGGCCCCCAACATCAACACGCTGAATTTCTTGAAAAATGAAATGAGGTGTAATACTCAGATAGTTCTTTGAAGAAAAAGTGGGAGGAGGGTTCATTAGGGCAGTGACAAGAGGCAAGGAAGTAGATTTGTTGGCAAGGTGGGAGACAGAGGGTTTAGGGCCCTCCAGCTGCTCTTTCCTGGGTCTATGTGGTTCTTCTGCAAAATTACAGGTGATGTCTTCAGGGGAGATGGACAAGTGGAAAGGGATAGAGCCAGGAGAGAAGTGTGTGGATAGAAGCCCAATGTGCACCACCTTCCTGGATAACTCCAACAACATAAAGTCAGTTGTACCCTCTGTCACCACCTAGGACCCTCTCTGTGTTTGATACTGCCCTTCTGCAGGAGGAGGCAGTCCTTGTCCTCTGGGAGGACCACAGACCCTCTCCTTCCCCGTCGCCCCACACTTCTCTCTGTGTCACTCACTCATCTGTGCTTAGAGGTCTCCTTTCCTTCCTCTGACATGCTCCCCTTTTCACCTGCTCTGGGGCGCATTTCCTGCCTGTATCCACCCAGCCTATTCCAGCATGCCCTCTGTGAAAGTGCTCTAGGAAGCAGGGCTCCCCCACCTCCCCAGGACCAGCAATATTCTGATGCTGGTGCCTTGGACCAAGAAGAGTTTCCCAGCCCAGGTCTTCATGCTTCATCTTCTCCTTCTCTTGCTCCAAAACGGTTCCCGTACCTGTTCTGAGCTAACATGGGGGCTTCCCTGCCCCGTGCTGAGGGCTGAGGCTCTGGGTGGCTGCTCTCATGCCATCTTTTCCTCTCACCCAATGTCAGGAGCTGGGCCCTCCTTGGGGAGAAACCTGGGTTTTCTGAGTCAGGGGACCAGAAGTGGGCCACCTTCCTGAGGCAGTGGGCACAGGAGGCTGAGGAGACAAAAGGACAGGCCTCTCAGGGCACTGCCCCTCCTTCCCTCCACACCTCACATTGACCTGCCTGGGCCCTCGGAGGAGCCCAAGACAGGTAGCGTTCCTCGATCAAGGCACCAGCACACTGGGGCACAGGTGCTAGGGACCATCAGAAGAGAATGCAGTGGCCGAGAGAGGGGGTCCCCAGACTCTGAATCCCATGCTGAGCTGGGGCCTGATCCTTCACTCCTCCTGGGAGAAGGTCTCCTGTCCCCGTGGCTGCTCTGTTTCCCATGCCCAGCTCAGACTGAGCTCACACAGGTGAGAAAGGCTCCAGCTGCATCCAGCGGGCCCCAGCCCAACAGGTACATGTTTTCCTTTCCTGCCTCGGTCCCCAGGGCCAGCCAGGGGGCGGTGAGGGAAAGGGCTGCGACAGGGGAGCCCTTTTCTCCTCTCTTCCTCCCTGAAGTCCACCCCCACAGTAGAGCATCTTTCCCTTCCGTTCGCTTTGCATCAGGCTTCTCCTTTGTCTCTCATCTCCTATGTCTCCCCCGTCTCTCCCACCCCTACCTTCACCCCATTTCTACTGTCATCCCCCCCGCCTTCCTGCCTCCTGAGCCTGGCCTCGCTCACCTCCCTGTCCCAGCACCCTGGGCCATCCCTAAGGGCTTACCTGCTCTTGGCCAGGGCCAGGCCAGGCAGGTTGATGGGCAGCCAGTGAAGTAGCAGAGCCTTGGGTTCCCATCCCATTTCCTGCTCCCTGCAGAACATTCCATGGGGACTTGGACAAAGGTGAGGGAGGGAAGAAAGGAGGTAAGGAGGGGGGAAAATAATAAAAACTGGGCTCCCAGTGCTGTCCAGGGCAGGGACTCCAGAGTGTAGGTGGACACACGGTGCTGTGTCTCTGATGTAAGTGTGATTGCTCCTATGAGGAGGACAGCTCCACAGTTTCACCTAATGTTGTCTATTTTGTTTTGATTTTCGGCAGCTCCATCCTGGAATTGTTCCCTAAATTATTATGCTTGGTAAGTGTATTCCTTGATGATTGACTTTTCTAATTGGCACTGATGCTGCCCCCAACTGCCCGAAACCCCGTCAGGTATTGTCCAAGTTACATTATTGGATCTAACCCTTAAACCTCAAGGGAGGTGGGGAAGGTGATATAGACCCATGTAGAAACATGACAGAGTCTTCTTCACACAAATTCACAACAGGCTTCAGGTGGCGGCAATCCTGACTGTAGTCCTGCCCATGTAAATTCCAGAATGCTTTCACACCTGATCTCTGATCTCATCCTCTCCTGGGTCTATCCTTTTCCCTAATTATGCAGTGCCATCTCCCTGCTTTGCACTATTGACTTCCTCTTGCCTTCCCCAGGATGGCCAGCAGTCATCTGGACCAACTCCATGTGGTCTTGAAGCCCACAAGAGGTTACCAACCTGTAAGGTGAGAAGAGAGGATCCAGCAGGGTGGTGCATGAGGAAGTGGGGGGTACCATCTGTGGTCCTGGGGACTCTTTATTCCAGGGAAGCTTCTTTGGATCTGAGATGCTGAAGAATCTGGTCCTGCAATTCCTGAAGCAGTAAGTATTCCTGGGATTCTGAGGAAACAGAGGGCTAGGTCAGATGAGGTTACCCAAGTACAAGTCTGCCCACAGTGGGACTTTCAAGTCTCATTGGTCCCCAACAGGTATTACTTAACCTATGACTCTGGAGATCGACAGGGTCTCCTCGGTGCTTACCACGATGAGGCCTGCTTCTCCCTGAGCATTTCCTTCAACCCTGGGGACTCAGCCCTGTGAGTATCACAGCTCAGATCCTTGTCCAGGTCTGTGTGACTCCCCTGCAGAAAGATATCAGCTCCTGGAAATGCCCTCACTGGCCAGACTATCCACTCCTACTCCTCTTTTTCTCCTAGGAGCATTTTGTTCAAGTACTTCAAGGATAACAGGAATATAAAAATGCTCCAGAACCCCTGTAAGTGTGTGATAGAGAAGACTGGGCAGGGTAAGGGGGTGTGACGCGAACAATCAAAGGGGCCAAGGGTCAGGGTGTGGCAGCACCCCCATCCGTGCTTCTCTCCTTTATAGACCTTCGGGGGCAGCTGCTGAAGCACACAAAACGTGACATTGTGGACTTCCTCAGTGCATTGCCCAAAACTCAGCATGACCTCAGCTCCATCCTGGTGGACATGTGGTACCAGACGGTGAGCACCTGCTTCCTCCCTTGGGCAGGCCCAGAGAGCCAGAGGTGGGTAAGGAGGTTAAGGAGGATCCCGAGCACCTGAGCTCTTCCCTTTCAGGAATGGATGCTCTGCTTTTCTGTCAACGGGGTGTTCAAGGAGGGTGAGTGTCTGTAGAGTCCCCTCCCTCGATCCCCACTGCTTCCTCCCCCTGGCCGGGCTCCCTCTCAGAACTCTCCCAGCTTCCCTGATTTTGTCCCTTTCCCTCTCTTCTTCCCTCCATGTTTTCCCACCCCTACTGTGCCCGCAAACCACCCTGGTCTGAACTATGTCCATGACTGTCTGCCCTGCACAGCTCAGGCGTGCTTTAAGGACACGGACTGTGGAGTTTGACAGCTCTCATCCCAGGTTCTTACTCTGTGAACTTGTGCTGGTTACTTAACCCTTCAGTTCCCTCATTTGCAAAATGGGGCCAACAATAACCCATCTCTTGGGCTATGTGAAATAGGAATCAAGTGAACTTGTGGTTTTCACGGGGCCCCACACATGATAGGGGCCCTATCACTGGGAGCATATTGTTCCCGTTGTTGCCCTCGCCATTCCTGCCACATCCTCCTGACTCCATGTGAACAGTTGTCCTGGTCTACCCCGCTTCTGTGTGAGTGTCAAGCGAGACTCTGACTGGGGATCACCGTGTGAGCACGTAAAGCCTGTACAACTCTAAGGTGGTGGTGTTTGTTGTCTTTGAAGTGGAAGGACAGTCTCAGGGTTCTGTTCTTGCCTTCACCCGGACCTTCATCACTACCCCTGGTAGCAATTCCAGGTTAGTTCTGTGTTGTGGGTGGGAGCACCCATCCCAGCCTGGGGCTGGTGGTGTGGGAATGTGTTGGGTGCAGTCCTCGGGGTGTTCTCAATGTTGTAAAAAACCAACAGTCTAGTCTAGTAGTTTAGTGTGGGCAGGTGCAGTGGCTCATACCTGCAATCCCAGTATTCTAGGAAGCTGAAGGTGGGAGGACTGCTTGAGGCTGGGAGTTTGAGACCAGCTTAGGCAACACAGTGAGACACTGTCTCTACAAAAAATTTAAAAATTAGCTGGGTTTGGTGGTGTGCATCTATGACCCTGTCATTCAGGAGGTTGAGGTGGAAGGAGCTCTTGAGCCCAGGAGGTCGAAGTTGCAGTGAGCTGAGATCATACCACTGCACTCCAGCCTGGGTGACAAAGTGAGACCCTGTCTTGAAAAAGAAAACAGTATGAGCTCTGGAGTCAGAGGATGAGTTCTTTCCTGATGCAATACTCACTATGTGATTTTGGTCAAGTCATATGACCTCTTTGTAGTTCAGAATCTTCCTTTGAAAATGTTGATTACACTGTCCACTCCCTTGGGCTATTGTAAAGGGCAAATGTGAGTGCAAAACCATCCTCGGGTTGTAGGTAAACCTACAAAACTGGTGAAGCATGTAGGCAATCTTTCCAAAGGCGGGCTCTGTGGGAGGGTTAGAGGGTACCAGCCAAAAAGCTAGGAGGCAGGCAGAGTAGAGGTATCAAACAAATTGGGTTGCTGAACAGGAGGAAAAAGATCTTTGTTGGGGGTAGGGAGATGGATGTCTCTCTCTCTGGCTTCCTGACGGCCCATTTTTTTCTCAAGTTTATGCATCGTGAATGATGAGCTCTTTTTGCGAGGTACCAGCCACCCAAGGACCCAGAGTGCCTTGTTCGCCCTAGTGCCCACATCCTTCTCCAGCTCCATGCCTGCCTTCTCCCAGGAGCAGCAGAAAATGGTGCAGGGTTTCTCTGCCCGGTCTGGGATGAACTTCCAGCGGTCTCAGAAGTGAGTGCTGAGTGTGTATGGTGATTAATGATTGGTGTGAGCTGGGAGGAGCAGGGGAGTGAATAATAGGAACTTGCAGGTACTTGGTTTTGCTTATTTATTTCACTCAGTATCACACTGTACATTTCTCTCTTGGTACGTATTCAGCTACCTAGTTATTTTGAACAGATGTACCTTAGTTCTCTGAATTCTGTCATTCTAGAAAAATGACAAGAAAAGTCTCAATCATTTTAGGAGGTTTATTTGCCAAAGTTAAGGACGTGTGCCTGGGAGATAGGTCTATGCCTTTTAAAGATGATTTTAAGGACTCTAAATTTAAAGGGGAAAGGGTAGGATATTGAGAAGTACACAATTTTTATGTAAGGAGGAGGGTAGGGAAAATAGTTATTCATGCCTTTGTCTGGCTCAGTGAATCTGCATTTTTTTATGTAGGATGACATAGACAAATGGGGTGGGGGAACAATCAGATATGCATTTGTATCTGGTGGACAGGGGGGTGACTGCACCTATAAAGATAAGCTATCAATTTATGTTGTCATGGTGAAATTTTAACAGAAACACCTTGCAGTAAAGATCTTGCAGCTCACAAGGAATTTCCTTGTGGACAAAATATGGGGGAGGTGAATAGCTTTTCATCTTGTAGCTGTCTTATTTAGGAACCAAAAGTGGAGGCAGGTTTGCATGACCCAGTTCCCAGCTTGACTTTTCCCTTTAGCTTAGTGATTTTGGGACCCCAAGATTTATTTCCCTTTCACAGTTCAGTGGATCCTGTTCCTTTGTTGATAGACATTTGGCTTTTCTGGATTTTTCCCCCATGATACACTATGTCACAGGGTTCCTTCTGTTGCAATAAATTCCAGTAAATGCTGACATGTTTCTGTTGCATAAATTAAGAAATGGCATTGTGTTGTCAGAGTGTCTCCACTTGGATCCTAATGGATGTTACCTGTCCTTCCTCCACCACAGATGCCTTCATAACAACCAGCAGGACTAGAGCAGAGCTGTTCCAGTTCTTGCACCACCCAAGGTTAAGTCTAGGAATTCAGTCCAAGTGAGGAGAGGCTGGGTGGCCTGGGGATGGAACTTTGGGCTTCCAACTCTGCTGATCTCCCAACGCCCTCCTGCACTTCCTCTTGGCTAAGAGCAAGATCCCAGAGAAGGCCCTCACATAGACTGACCTAGGATCCTGAAAACAAAGCCCTAAGAAGAAATCCTTAAGTGTCATAATCTTCAGCCTCATCATCTTCCCTGCATTTTTGTTCCAATAGGTGTACATCCCTGTGACTGAATCAGAAGATTTGGCTGTGGCTAAGAAGCCAAAGCCCAACTCACAGGGCTGACTCTCATCGTTCCAAAGGGGCCAGTTGTTCTGTGAACTTGTCCACCCCTGTCACCCCCAGGATCTCTGTTTCTTTTCACAGTAAAGAATGATGCTGCCTGTTATGTCAAATCCCTGCAAAATCCATTTGATTCAGACATTATTAGCTCTGTGTTGAATAGAAGTGGCATGAGTGACATTCTTTTCTTATTCCAGTCTTTGAGGAAAAACTTTCAGTCTTTCACCATTGAGTATGATTTTACTCGTGAGTTTTTCATATATGGCCTTTATTATATTAATATGATTTCCTTCTATTCCTAGTTTATTGAGTGTTTTCAATTGTAAAAGGGTATAAGTTTTGTGAAATGCTTTTTCTAAATCGAGATAATTATGTGCACTTTCCCCTTCATTCTGTTAATATAGTTCATTACATTACTTGATTTTTATATGCTGAACCATACTTGTATTCCAGGAATAAATCCCACTTGGTCACCATGTATAACCTTTTAACATCCTGTTGAATTTAGCTTGCAAGTATTTTGTTGAGGATATTTGCATCAGTATCCATAAAGGGTACTGTTCTATAGTTTTCTTGTAATACCTTTGAAATTATTTTTAAAAGTTATATTTACACTGCACTGTAGTCTATTAAGTGTGCAATAGCATTGTTTAAAAAATGTAACTATCCTAATTTTAAAATATTTTATTGCTAAAAAATGCTAATGATGATCCAAGCCTTCAGTGAGTCATAATCTTTTTGCTGAAATAATAAATGGTCTTACCTTAATGTTAGTGGCTGCTTATTGATCAGGGTGATGGCTGCTGAAGATTGGGTTGGCTCTGGCAATCTCTTAAGACAACAATAGCTGGGTGCAGTGACACATGCCTGTAGTCCCAGATACCTGGGAGGCTGAGGAGAGAGTATCCCTTGAGTGCCGGAGTTTGAGTCCAGCCTGGTCAACCTAGTGAGACCCCTGACTCTTAAATTTTAAAAAGACAGCAATGAAGTTGTTGCTGCATCGATTGACTCTTCCTTACGTGAACGATTTCTCTGTAGCATGTAATGCTGTTTGATAGCATTTACCCACAGTAGAACTCCTTTCAAAATTGGAATCAATCTTCTCAAAGGCTGTCATTGCTGTATCAACTAAGTTTATGCCATATTTTAAATCCTTTGTTGTTATTTCCACATTGTTCACATCATCTTCACCAGGAGTAGGTTCCATCTTGAGAAACCATTTCTTTCCTCATCCATAAGAAACAACTTCTCATCCATTTAAGTTTTATCATAACATTGCAGCAATTTATTCACATCTTCGGGCTCCACTGCTGATTCTAGTTCTCTTGCTATTTCTACCACATCTGCAGTGAGTTCCTCCACTGAAGTCATGAAACCCTCAAAGTCATCCATGAGAATTGGAATCAACTTCTTCCAAACTCCTCTTAATGTTGATATTTTGACCTCCTCTGAACATGATTCAGAAATGTTCTTAATAGCATTTAGAATGGTGAATCCCTTCCAGAAGATTTTCAGTTTATTTTGTCTTAATCCATCAGAGGAATCACTGTCTATGGCAGCTGTAGCCTTATGAAATGTATTTCTTAAATAATAAACCTTGAAAGTCAAAATTACTTCTTGATCCTTGGGCTGCAAAATAGATGCTGTATTACCAGGCATGAAAACGATGTTAATTTCTTTGCATATATTCATCAGAGCTCTTCAGTAACTAAGTACATTGTCAATAAACAGTAATATTTTGAAAAGAATCTTTTTTACTGAGCAATAGTTCTCAAAAGTTTATTTAAAATATTCAATAAACCAGGTTGTAAAAAGATATGTTATCATCCAGGCTTGGTTGTTCAATTTCTAGAGCACAAACAGAGTAGATTTAGCATAATTCTTTAGGATCCTAGGATTTTTAGAATGGTCAATGAGCATTGGCTTCAACTTAAGGTCACCAGCTGCATAAGCCCCTAATAAAAGAAAGTGAGTTTGTTCTTTGAAGCTTTGAAGCCAGTCATTGACGTCTCACTAGCTATAAAAGTATTAGATAGCATCTTCTTCCAGTGGAAGGTTGTTTCATCTATATTGAACATTTGTCATTTAGTGTAGCCACCTTCATCAATTATCTTAGCTAAATCTTCTGGATAACCTGCTGCATTTGCAGCTTCCATATCAGCACTTGCTGTTTTACCTTGTGCTGTTGTATTATTGAGATAACTTCTTTTCTCAAACTCCACGAACCAGCCTCTGCTAGATTCGAACTTTTCTTCTGCAGCTTCTTTCACTCTCTCAGCCTTCATACAACTGAAGAGAGTTAATGCCTTGCTCTGTATTAGGCTTCGGCTTAAGGGAGTGTTGTGGCTGGTTTTATCTATTATTCAGATCACTAAAACTTTCTCCATATTAGCAATAAGACTGTTTTGCCTTTTTAAAATCACTCATGTGTTCACTAGAATAGTGTGTTTAATTTCCTTTAAAAATATTCCTTTTGCATTAACTACTTGGCTAACCGTTCAGTACAAGAGGCCTAGCTTTTGGTCTATTTTGTCTTTTGACCTGCCTTCCTCAATACACTTAATAATTTCTAGTTTTTTTCTTTTCTGACATGGAGTCTTGTTCTGTTACCCAGGCTGGGGTGCAGTGGTGTGAACTCAGCTCACTGCAGAGGTTGCAGTGCGCCAAGATCATGCCACTGCACTCCAGCCTAAGCCATAGAACAAGACTCTGTCTCAAAAGGAAAAAACAAACAAACAAACAAACAAACAAACAAAAAACATACACACACACAATAGTTTTTCATTTTGATGAAGTCTAGATTTTCTCTTTTTCTTTGCTACTTCTGGTATTGGTGTCATATCTAAGAATCTTTTGAATTCAAGAGTCATTTGAATCTAAGAAGCCTTTGTAATCCAAGGTCACAAATATTTATCCCCATATTTTCCTATAAGAATTTTATAGTTCTAGCTCTTCCATTTAGGTCTTTGACCCAGTTTGAATTAATTTTTTATAAGATGGGAGCTAAGAGTGTAACTTAGCTCCTGCCTCAGCCTCCTGAGTAGCTAGGACTATAAGCACGTGCCACTACTCCTGGCTAATTTTTCTATTTTTTCAGTAGAGATGGAGTTTTGCCATGTTGGCTAGGCTGGTCTCGAACTCCTGATCTCAAGTCATCCACACCCTCTTGGCCTCCCAAAGTGCTGGGATTACAGGCGTGAGCCACTGCACCCGGCCAATAGAATCGTTTTGACAGTCCAAAAGTAAAGCTATGTGACTAATCTCAACTGAATTTTGACAAGAGTGCCAAGACAATCCAGTGGAGAAATAATTGTCTTTTCAACAAAAGGTGCTGGGGCAATTGGATAGCCACATATAAAAGAATGGTTACACTCTTAGCTCCCACCTTAAAAAAATTAATTCAAACTGGGTAAAAGACCTAAATGGAAGAGCTAGAACTATAAAATTCTTATAGGAAAATGTGGGGATAAATATTTGTGACCTTGGATTACAAAGGATTCTTAGATTTAAATGACTCTTGAATTCAAAAGATTCTTAGATATGACACCAATACCAGAAGTAGCAAAGAAAAAGAGAAAATCTAGACTTCATCAAAATTAAAAACTATTGTGTGTTCTCTCGGCCTTAGAGCCATTTTTTTTGGAAACCTCTGTGCCATGAGAGCCAAGTGGAGGAAGAAACGAATGCGCAGGCTGAAGCGCAAAAGAAGAAAGATGAGGCAGAGGTCCAAGTAAACCGCTAGTTTGTTGCACCGTGGAGGCCACAGGAGCAGAAACATGGAATGCCAGACGCTGGGGATGCTGGTACAAGTGGTGGGACTGCATGCTACTGTCTAGAGCTTGTCTCAATGGATCTAGAACTTCATCGCCATCTGATCGTCGATCACCTCTGAGACCCACCTTGCTCATAACCAAAACTGCCCATGTTGGTCCTTTGCCCTGGACCTGTGACATTCTGGACTATTTCTGTGTTTACTTGTGGCCGAGTGTAACAACCATAAAATAAATCACCTCTTCCGCTGTCTTAGCTGAAGAAAAAAACAAAAACAAACAAACAAACAAACAAAAAAAACAAAACTATTGTGTGTGTGTATGTGTGTTTTTTTTTTTTTTCCTTTTGAGACAGAGTCTTGTTCTATGGCTTAGGCTGGAGTGCAGCGGCATGATCTTGGCGCACTGCAACCTCTGCCTCCCAGGTTCAAGCGATTTTCCTGCCTCGCCTCCTGAGTAGCTGGGACTACAGGCATGCACCGCCACATCCAGTTAATTTTTTGTATTTTTAGCAGACATGGGGTTTCACCATGCTGGCCAGGCTGGTCTTGAATTCCTGACCTCAAGTGATCTGCCTGCTTCGGCCTCCCAAAGTCCTGGGATTACACGCATCAGCCACCGTGACTGGCGAGACACTATTTTGTTTCAAAAGGCACTATTATGAAAGTGGTTAAAAAAATCCACAGAATGGGCTAACATATCTGCAAATCATATATGCAGTGAGGCATTTCTGTCTAGAATATATAAAAACCCTTGCAACTCAATAATAATTAAAAAAAACCCAAATAAAAAGTGCACAAAGATCCGAATGGACATTGATCCAAGGAGGATATACAAATTACCAATAAGCACATGAAAAGGTGCACCATATCATCAGTCATCAGGAAAATGCAAATCAAAACCACCATGATAAATGGCTGGAATCAAAATTTCAGATAATAACAAATGTCGACAAAAATGTGGAGAAATCAAAACCGTCATACACTACTGGTAGCAATGTAAAATACTCAGCCAGTTTGGGAAATCGTTTGGCAATTCCTCAAGTGAGTAATCATAGTGGCATCATAAAGCTTGAAAACATCATGCTAAATAAAAAAACCAATTTCTAAATAATATACAAATTCATTCATATGAAATATCAAAATAGGGAAATCTATAGACAGAAAACATTAGTAATTGGTTTGGTATGAAGAGGATGGGGGAACAGGGGAGTGATAGCAAAAGAATAGGAGGTTGCTTTTTCAGGTGATGAAAATATCCATGGTGATGGTTGCACGTATCTATGAATACACTAAAAAACATTTTTTACACTTTAAATGGGCAAATGTTATGGTTTGTAAATT